TAGATATATATATATATATATATATATATATATATATTGGAAATGACAGAATCATACAATCATTTATATTTGGTTTAATGATTGCTAAATAATAAAATATTAGATCTTATTGATTAAACTTAACCATAGAATGCAATCAAATCTAACCACAATTCAAAGTTATCAAAGGTTGTGACAATGATTTTGAATTGAACAATGCCATATCTAGCATCCATTTGATAAAGTATACACTATTGTCAATATATATGGAATATGATTGATTCAAAATGATTGATATCAATTCATTTGTGTTATGCTGTGATTCTGTTAATTTAGTTTCACTTAAATGTTTAAATATAAGCAAAACTTATGAATTAATAAATACTACGGTACTTAAAACTATGTACTTGAAAATAATACAAGTGATTGGGAGTCAATTCTATTGGTATATTGTGTTTACACAATTGATCCACTATTAAATGTAAGATCATTATTAGAACAATAATTTTTAACTTTAAAAATTTTGATTCATTTATATGTACGGTATTAAAATTAATTGACATTAATTGTTATAAACATTAATAACCTACTGTATAACAGTTAACAGTTTGAGTATTTTTGGCTAATACTTGATAACTATTACCTAAAATAATAATATTCATTTTAAAGGCCATAAAATATAACTAATTTGCCAATTTTTCTAACTTTGTGTGTAATAATTTACTTGATTTAGTGGTCACTGATTGTGTTTACTTTCAATCATTTATTCAGTATATAGCAAATGATTAGTTCAAATATTTGGGCTAATATTAAATCTAATGTAATTTTGAAAGTTATCGTCAAACTTGAAACTACTTTAAGAAAACATTTTAAGCTCAACGGCAATACTATTCAATAATTAGCAAATATTTGATTTACCGCAAAATGTCATTTATTATCATATATTCTTTATTTATACTAAAATTACAATTACTTTCAAAAAGACTAATAGTTTGAATTGAAACCCCATTTCTAACATATAATCTAATAAAAGAGTTTCTAAACATTAATTGAAACAAATGCTAGTCTTTGTTGAGCAACACTTTTCTGTCGTGAAATCCGCGGTCAAAGAACTGATAGGACTCCGTTCGAGGATCGGGTCGCGGGAAGCGTCTGTCGCCCGGATAGACATTCTCGCGATGAATGTATACACGGATACCCTTCTCCTTCTCCCAGTGCTCTCTATTGTACTTCAAGTAATACCAAAATCCCAAAATACCGCAATATATGAGAGCTCCGCGTCCAATGATTTTGCGAATATTGGCCGCATATCCGCGCTCTTCACGTCCGGTTCCCTATAGATATACAAACACATTGTCAATACAAACACATTTTACATCATTTCTTATACATTATTGTATTATAATCTTAACAACAATTCAAATCTTCCATAAACTCTATATACAAACAATGTTTATAAAATCAAATCCTAACTGTAATTAAATTTATATCAATCTATTATTTTAATATGAATTTAATTTGAAACTAACAGTCAATACTAAATGTATGTTTGCCTAAGACTTTAGGATCAAAATAATGAGATTAAAAGATATATACAATTAAAACTAAATGACAAAAATTCAAAACAACTATTAGTGATGAGAAAGATTGCACTTTTTGTGAGACCTGTCCTGAAATGAAGTGCGAGTCCGCACAACAAGTGTATTACAGTTAAGTGAGTGTAAAAGCAATGCAAGTCTTGCCAGATATGAGACGAGCTGTGCCTCCAAGAGATCCAATGGCTTGCGATAGAAACGTCTGATTGGGTTATGATATTCATAGTAGAGTTGTTTGACATCAAAGGGTTCGTTGGGATGGATGTGTTGGTCGCGAATCCATTTCGTGCGCCAATCGCGTTGAGTGTCGTCGAAATCAGGTCCCAGTCTTTCCCTCTCATTGGCGAAACGGCCGGTGATTGACATCGGAATCACTCCCGCCGTCGGGTGAAAGGCATAGCGAGGATTGTCCACAAACTTCTGGGTCGACGCCTTTGCGTACAACTTCTTCAGCTCCTCCTCAGAGATGTCGGGCTTCAAGTCATCCGAACCGTGCGATCCGTGCGATGACCACCTCTTCAGCGTTTGGAACACCATTTCATCAACACTTCCAACACTTCTAACGCTTCTCAACATTGTTTCGCTTATTATTATCGCAAATACTATTCACTCAATACTAACACATGTTTTGTTAGATTTTCACCAATTATTCTATAATTCAATAAATAAATCGCTTTTTCTATTAATTTTAAACACAAATTATTGAATCAATTCTTTAATCAATAATCAAATCAATAATAAAAATCACAATAAATTAATTGCATTGAAATGATTGAGAAATGACTGCAATTTGAGAGTCAAACCAATGGTTAGGAAAGCATTGATTGAACGCATCATTCACTGCAAAAGTGGAGGCGAAGTGACGGCCAATGCCTGCCATTCAAAGCCCTCCCCTCTCGTCGACAGTGAATGATGTGATGAGTTGTGTCGACAACACGTGTGGTCTCTGTTATGGCCGTCACTAATGAATGCAATCATTTTGAATGAAGTGTTCGTTCGTATAATACGTCACATAAAACACAATCGAATCCATTATTACGTAATTAATGTTCAAATAGTGATCGAATGTGAATGAAATGCGACGTAATTTGTGAGGCAATGGAATGAGCGGTCGATTCGAAAAGTGTTCTAAAAGTGTCTAAAAGTTAGTTCTCTTGGATTCGTGTCCGCAATGAGTGAACACAACTGCAGTCAGCGATGGCTTCGACGCGAAGACCCGATGGAAGACACGGCAGACGCGGACGACATGACCACACCGTTTGATCTGAACCTCATTCACGTGATTATCTCATCATTGGATCCGTTGTTGCGCTAAATTGTGAACTCATTTATCGATAGGATATCCAAAATCGCCGCCATTTGTATCGATTGATGACTTCATCGCTTTGTCCGCAAATATATGGCCACCAAATGGTTAAGTCGGCGCTCGTGTTGGCCCTCATGAGTGGCGCCCAGAAGAGCGACCGCTTCGCACCGCAGATGACGACCAGCGGTTCCGTTCACGTCCTGCTCTTCGGAGATCACGGCTCCAACAAAGACCTACTCCTCAAGAGTGTCCACTCGTGCGCTCCGAACGGCCATTACGTGTGCGGAAGCGCTTCGACCATCAAATGTCTCACAAGTCGTCTGAAGCGACACAAAGGCAAAGATGTGCTCCAAAACGGATCACTTGTGTCGCGACAAATGGGTCTGAATTGTGGATAGAGTTGTGAGAGTTGTGGCACTGAATGACTGATGTATTGATTGATTGTTTAGGCATTTGTTGTGTCGACGACTTCGAGAGTTTGGATAGCAGTCAACAACAGGCGGTCCACGAAGTGATGGACTCACAGACCCATTGGTTCTGTTGTAAGGATCAGATGAAGCGCTCGACGGCTAACACATCCATAATAGCGGCCATCAATCCAACGGACGGCGCATTCAATGACAGTTTGAATGTCTGGCAAAACACGAAACTCAAGAAACCCTTATTATCTCAATTCGATCTCATCTTCGGTTTAACCGATACTCCCGACGAAGAGTTGGACTCAAAGCTGTCCAAAGATGTGCTCACTTCGCACAACCCATTGGCCGAAACCAGTGGCCAAACATCGCAGCAAAAGTTCTGTTCCCAAAGAGTGAAGAGCGAGAGAAATCAGTTCCGATCACTTGATTGCCAACTCATGTCGAAACTGGTGTTCGACGCCACCGAAGAGGAGCCCACACTTATTCCTCACGAGTCGATCAAACATTATGTCGATTACGCGCAACAATTCATTCATCCGGTGATCGATAGCACCGCTCAACAGCTGTTGAATGAGTTCAGCGCCGAAATGGCGAACACAGAGATTAGCAAATCTATGACCAAAAACTTGCAGACACTCTACCGCTTGACTGAAGCCAGAGCTCGACTCGAACTGAGACCTGTGGCCACTGAAGAGGACGCCCGCGATGTCATTGATATCATTAAGTTTTCTATCGGAAAGGATTATTTGGTCCCTAATTTGGTTCAAGATGTGATCAAATCGAGTCAAATGTCTTTCAAGGGTTCCAATAAAAGACAAAACACTAAAAACTTGTTGAAAGCTTTGCAGACATTCAGTGGACAGAATCAGCAAAAGGTGTTTACAATCGACCAAATAATAGGCATTTGTTCCACATTTCAAATACCGTTTGACACAAAAGATGACATTTTGCAGGCAATCGATAGACTAAACAACGAAACGCTAATCATTAAAAACGGATCTAATTATAAATTGCTTTAAAATATTTGCCTATTTTTATTGATTTTTGTGAGTTTTGCACACAATAAGCAAATCACTTATAATCTTAACATACATTCTGTTTTCATAGCATAATATAAAATTGTTAATTCATTTCATTTTGTTGTTTCAATCTTTAATTAATTAATATCTCATTAAAATGTATAATTTGTTAGCAATTGTTACATAAATGCGGTTCTATTATAATAAATAACTTGTATTTTGAATCAAATGTTGAATTTATTATTAAATAATATTGTTATTGATTTTCATGCAAACCATAACATAAGATATTAATACAGGAATTACTGAACAAATATTTGATTCAATGATAATAAAAGTTGTATTTCTTTCTAAAAATGGAAATCATATTTCATATACTTTTTTAATATATTTTAATATTTAGTATATTTTGTTGGAAATAAGCGACTCTCTCTCTCTCTCTCTCTCTCTCTCTCTCTCTAGGAACTGAGTTCTCTCTCTCTCTCTCTCTCTCTCTCTCTCCTCTCCGTAAAAACGAAATATACATTTTATTTCAAACAATATTATTATTGAACAGAATATATTGAAATGTTGTAATTAATGGCAAACATAGTATTAAATCTGTGGATAAATGAATTGTTAAATGAAAAAGTTATGTTTGATTGAGAATTGCATTATGTATTGAGTAATTGAATGAAGTTTGCAAACAATTATTATTATTCTTATAGAAATGAATTGCAATCTGAAGAATGTATGAATAAAACAAACGTTTATGTATTGGTTTGTATTCAGTGATTGACTGCTAGAGAATGATAGCGCATAACTATTAGGACAGGCATAGGATGTACTGTACATAGAATTGAAGTGATGTTTAGTAGAGAGTTGTTTAAAGTTGTTATAACTTATAATTAAATCTCATTTTCAGGTAATCTCTTGTAATCGCAAATCAATTACGAATTGATGTGAAGTTTGAATAATTAAGAAGAAAGCGAAAAGTGATTAATTGGTATTAATGTGTTGTGTTATAGCAGTTATAGTGAATGTGTGTTACAAATAATTGAGTGTTGAGTGTATTGTTATCAGAAACACTCGGTTATGTGTTATCTACAGAATTTGGTTCAAACATAGCATCATATGATAAGTTAACTTCATATTAATGGTTATGAAAGTATTGTTCACAATATATTAATATATGAACACAAAAAATATTGATACACCAAAAACACCAAATGAAATGATAAGTTGGACTAAAATAAGTTGATTGCATATAAGTTATACCATTATATATACCGTGTATATAGTTTATTGATAACCAATCAAAACGTTCAAAGTTCCAGTGAATTAATAACTAATCAGTAAAAGAGTCTTAATGTCAGAACAAGTGTGGTATTCAAGTGTAGCCAATACTGAGCACATCTGAGACACTCTCATCACTGATCATCACTTTAACCAATCTTTCGCTAAATATAAGTCTCGACTCAACTAAACACTAGACGTGACTTCGCATCAAAACAACCGAAATAGTAATATATATACAGATATACATGTATTACATAAAGTTTTATAAATAATTTTACCTTTTTTTTGCTGTGTTGTTACCGCTATTAAAGTTACAAAGTTTAGTAGAACAGCATTACTATTGCAACAACTATTACCTGCAAATTCACAATACACTCACATTAAACCATATCTGGATATACAGTACTCTAACTGTACTGTCACTAACAGTCCCACTCGTCTCTACACTACACTATACACTACCCTATCCTCGACACCGACTCCACATCCAAATCACTCTTTAATTCCACATCAAATTCATTCAAACTTTTTCTTCTCTCATTTAAAAATATATCCAATAGTTTTAATCCCATATTTATTTAAAGAGAGAAGAAAACAAAAGTTTTCAATAATCAATAAAAATGCCGTTCAAAAAGTTGTTCAGCAAAAAGAAAAAAACTGAAGGTAAGAATTGTATATATTAATAACATTTATTATTAGATACTATTTTTTAAGTATTTATTGTTCAGTCAGTTTGATATTAACTCTATGTTTGATGTTTACAACAAGTTTTGTGTTATTTTTATGAACAACACTTCATATTCAGCACTGAATTGCAGGCAATAATTAAATGCAGAACTTTGTACTGAATATTGTCTGTGAATACAAAACTAATATAAAAATGTTTTTTATTACCTTTTCAGCATTCATTTGTATTTTATTGTAAACATATAGTCATATAATAGAGAAGTTGTCATTTAAATTGCAATTCAATTACAATAATACTGTTTTAAAAAGTGTTAAAACAAATGTCGAGAAATTTATAAATATAGTAATAAATGCATTGGTTATACAGTAATGTGTACTAAAAGCCATATATTGTGTATACATTGACACCATTACCTGTAATACCTGTACAGCGATTGAAATTAGTTTTCTGTCAATGCATTTAAACATACATTTGAAGGTTATTTTGTGCGTATTTTTCACTGATTTTTGCATTGAATTCATTAAATTAGAAGAAAATCGCTTTCACTTTATAAATACACTAAATATTTAATAATCTTTGCATTAATTTTATTCATATTTTAAAATTAAAATTCTCATTGAATTAATGATTTTATATATTTATTTATATATTGTCAGGAAAAACTAATTAGTGTAATTAAACACTATTTACTGTAAACTCTAATTACAGTTAAGACCCGTTATTAATACCTAATTGACACGTGACTCTACTCTATATATTCTTCGCGCCAATAATTTGTGCGTATTTTTCACTGATTTTTGCATTGAATTCATTAAATTAGAAGAAAATCGCTTTCACTTTATAAATACACTAAATATTTAATAATCTTTGCATTAATTTTATTCATATTTTAAAATTAAATTTCTCATTGAATTAATGATTTTATATATTTATTTATATATAAACTACATATGAATTAGTTTTTGTTTTTTTAATCTTTAAAGGGTTTTAAATAGAAATGCATTTGTTATTGAATTATGTTTATTATAAACAAATGTGTTTTGTTTTCCATTTTTATTAATTCAAATAATATTATTATATAAATATATCGATAATATTATATCCTTGTTATCACACGAAACAACACAAAACAACAATTAAATGATAACTATTATAAACACTTATTTTCAACAAATAATTGTCGTATTAATAAACACGAAAGTGATGTTTAATTTTAAAATTTTTATATAGAAAAATATTTTATTTACTCAATAACCAGATATTAATTTAATATGAGATTTAATTTAGAATATTTATCATTTCAATGCTATTTCGTAATTATTTGAAAAATATTCAATTAAATTATTTTTTATTAGTATACGATTAAAATTAAAATATATTTTATACATTATAAAAATTTTGAAAATATTTATTTTTAATAAAATCCTATGATTTTTAAAATATATTTGAAATATATTTTAGATTTTATGTAAAGAAGAGCCGAAGTAATCATAATATTATTATTTAATCAAATTATTCTGAAATAAAGAATAAATTATTTATTAAATATAAAGATATTTGCCTTTAAAATCTTATAAACAACTTTAAACATATTTATAAATCTTGAATTATTTGTTGAATATTCACAAATGATCATGCATTTTTATAATTAGTTAATACTCTTATATCTGAATATATGTAAATTACAAAAATTATATTTATTAATTAACTCAATTTAGATTTACACTAACTCGTATAATGTGAAATTCTAGCTAGTTTCAAATAACGTTAGTTACTCTATTCTATTTAATAATTGAGCACATATTTATCACCTTATTTAATTATTTATAACTTTTGGGACCATAACTAGGTTATTTATAAATTACTCTATTCTATTATTATGGGCACGATATTAA